TGGCGGAGACGAGCGAAATCTTCGGGTAGTAATGCATCATTGACTTTGAAACGCGGAAAAGGGAGGCTGCAAAGTCAGAGGGATGCGCGGAGCCGATGAAGATGAAAAAATAAAGTGGGCCACGATACTCCATTAACCTGATTACTGCCACGAAAGTAACGACCCTTTCTGTGCTCGCGGCTTCCGCGCGACTGCTAAATGTGGACGCGGCCTACATTCCGGTTCATTTTTAGATAACGTTTTAAACAGAGATTATCAACCGTGAAACAAAGTCTCGTCAGACGCCTGGCGAGTACTCTGTTACCAGGCGGCGGATCAGGCTAGTGTGATAAACCTCTATGGTTTTACTACTTGTTAGACAATTTAGTCTTTGATATTTCGTTTATTAACTTTGATTATTATTGTTACCACGCGTCGCGATAGAAGTTATTTCCTTCGTAGGAACGCGTTTTACTTAACACCAGATTTACGGAACCCGTGAATTTGACGGAAGGGTTGCTTCAATTATAAGATGGTAACAGATTTAGTTAACCCTTTGCACTCGACGACTTTTTCGTTATTGAAAAATAATAATTCGAAGACTTTCCGTCATAGAGTTGACGATGTTTTTAAAATAGTAAATGAGAAATCATATGCAAATTAAGACGTGGAATTATTTTTCTTCGACATTCCACGCATCGTTAGGTAATTTTAAATTTGACATGTTAATTAACGTCGATCTTTAGAATCTGATTAAATGACGACTGAGAGTTATCTCTCGAGTATAAAGGGTTAATTTGTATTAAGGCTGTTAGTATAATATATAATTGTTTTTAAATTAAACTAATCGTTAAAGAAAAAGGCACGTGGTTTCCTTTACCTGTCAATTTGACAGGTGTCCTTAGAAATAGGTATGCAGATAGTGTCCGTAAACATAGTGTTAATGGCTTCCAAAGTTATGACATCGCACATGGCCTGGTCCTTACTTTTACAGGACTATTGTCAGCGAAATCCTAAGTGCTGTTGTCTGGATTCTAAAATAGTGGCTAAAGAAAGAGGAAATAAGGAACAGTTTGTAAAATATATTGAAAATGGAGAAAATATAAAATACCGAAATTGAAATAAAACAGCAATTAGGATCTGGCTGCCAGAAGACCGTAATGGGTCTTCTGGGTCTGTGGTTTGTCCCAGGATGTGCCAACGCGTGATTTAATAATCCTGAACAACGAGACCTAGTGACGATATACATCGGGAGTGGTTTGACTTCAACCATCTTTTCCCTGACATTCGCGTAATCCTGCAGAGTTAACCTCTTCGTAACTAAATCCGCGTTAGCGCGAATTATCGCAAAATTCCGCTGCAAGTTCATTCGCAGCTACGAAATTCGATGTCTAGCGTGCCCGACGGGTCGACAGGAATTGCTTCCTGCAGGTAGCATTCGGAATGGATATTAACAGGGTATTTATTCGCTCTGTGGGAAAATTCTACGACAGCAACTATCCCCTATATCGAATTTGGTACCTGTCGATGCACAATAGGCCATCGATGGGACAAGAATTAATACAGGATTATGTATACAAGCGTGATATACGTAGACAATAGTAATCGAAGTGCTATAGTACACGTCACACGTGACGATGCACCGTATCGTTCTTTTAACAGCGTGGAAAGGTATTACTCAAAATGTCCATTTTTCCTACAAATTTCATCTGTTCCACGAAACGGTGAACCAGGGATGGGAACAAAAGCAGATCGAGATTTTATTTTTTCCAACTGAAAAATCATTTTACATATTTTCGTGCCCTGAATTCGGAACCGATAGCAAACATTGCCATGTAGGAGATAAATGTTGATTTTTGATACGTTTAAAAAAATATTTCGAAGATGGTAAACTTTTTCCAATAATTCGATCCACTGTGTCGTATGGTACTAAGCCTCCTGTGTAAAATACAATTTTATTTATTATTCTGTGACTTCTCTTTGTCGAGATACACCTTGACAAAGTGTACGTCGAAGTTACTCGAGAAACGCCGAGGATCATAGCATCCGCCATTTTATTCTGAAGTGTGTATCAAAAATGAACAGGCATGCGCGATGACGTTCCTATTCGAGCCCAAATTATCATTAACATTGCTAAAAGTAACGGTACATCATTATAGCGACTGTCATTTTTACTCTCGCCGCCAGATGGCTACCGACTTTAAGGAGGTTCGAGGATTTTCTCGCAAGTCCTTGGAAAATCTTCGCTTTCTGTGTAATATAATTTCCAGACTTTCCAAGAGTATCCTAGTAATAGTCTATGGGCAGGGTCTACTAGGAAGGCTTACTGATGAGACAAGTAGCAGGCCCATGACGAAACGCATCCCTTCCTTTCCCTCTCATCCCTTCTAGCACTACCACCACACGAGGGTACCTACGTCCAGTCTGACTTCAATAACCGTAGGGGTGGACTCCCCTAAAATATTCTACGATATCTAAAATCCAATTTTATTTATAATTCTGTGACTTCTCTTTATCAAGGAACACCTTGACAGCTTCGAAGTTACTCGAGAAACGCCGAGGATCATAGCATCCGCCATTTTATTCTGCAGTGTGTATCAAAAATAAACAGGCATGCGCGATGACGTTCCTATTCGAGCCCAAATTATCATTAACATTGCTAAAAGTAACGGTACATCATTATAGCGACTGTCATTTTTACTCTCGCCGCCAGATGGCTACCGACTTTAAGGAGGTTCGAGGATTTTCTCGCAAGTCCTTGGAAAATCTTCGCTTTCTGTGTAATATAATTTCCAGACTTTCCAATAGTATCCTAGTAATAGTCTATGGGCAGGGCCTACTAGGAAGGCTTACTGATGAGACAAGCAGCAGGCCCAAGACGAAACGCATCCCTTCCTTTCCCTCTCATCCCTTCTAGCACCGCCGTCACACGAGGGTACCTACGACCAGTCTGACTTCAATAACCGTAGGGGAGGACCCCTCGTACTCTACATCTACCATGATATTCTCAATCTAATTTTATTTATAATTCTGTGACTGTTCTTTGTCAAGGTACACCTTAACAGCTTCGAAGTTACTCGAGAAACGCCGAGGATCATAGCATCCGCCATTTTATCCCACACCGTGTATCAGAAATAAACAGACATACGCGATGACGTTCCTATTCGAATCCAAATTAGCAATTAAGCTTGTGGAAGATAACGGTATATCTTCTACGATATTCTACTCGAAATTGAAAATTCCTTAAATGACTCGGTTGAAAAGATCCGTTTTCGGGTAAAAAATTCTCTGACTGGAAAATTCGATGCCCGTGGTGCGCGAGGAAGCGGTGAAAAAATAGCCGTTCGATGGGAAAAATGGAGGAGAACGGACCACCCTCGGGTAGCTAATGTGTTTCAATTTAAAGTCCCTCTCCGGATTTAATCAATTCTATCCGGAGTCCAATACGGCGCAAACTTCCACGCTAACGATCAAACATTTAGCACGTGGTCAGTATCGGAATATTAAGGGCACTATAAATTCACGCACAACATACTCCGGCGTCCTGACGAAAGTTAAACCGTGTGTTACCGAATGTAATCTCGCCAGAAGCTTTAATATCGAGGGAAACTGAGGGAAATTGAGTCACGGCTATCGCGATATTATACACGAGTCTACGTGGACAGGCTTGGCCCTCCCTCTAGCTCGCTATAAATAATATTCATCTCGCAATTTAAGGCTCTCGTATTCTAATTCGCGAGCTTTATTACGAAGGCGTATGATTACCCGGGACACGTATATTATCCGGATCCGAGTATTCCTTAATCCCCGGCTACACTGCTCCAACCCCGGGCGCGTTCCTCTCATCCGCACCCCCTGTCCTCCATTTGTACGGCAATTAATTTCTTTTTTTCTCCCACCCGCAACCGCACCCTCCCCGAGAATTAACGCGGTAACGAGAATCTCCCTGTAAGTCCGACTTGGCTGGGAATCTATTCGAGTTTTCGGCAGAACTTCGTTCGTCGGCGAAAATTAACTTCCCTCTTTTATTCCGCACGCGATCATTCGACACCGTGGGAACGGGAACTCTGGGTACGAATGCGACCATGCCTCGAGTACACTTTCATCTTATTGCAAATAATCCGTTGCTCCGTTATGAGCATATTTTTATTATACCTGACATGTCACTTCAGAGTCATCCACTATTTGTTGTTCCAAGTATATTATATAAGACAAGTTAGGCTGAACATCGGCAAGGGTCGTGGCACCTTGTCCACGACTTGGTCAAGACCCATGAGTAGCCGTGGAAAACATCATACCAGCGAAATAACAATGGCCGACCAGGGACAATCTATAAATGACAACGGTCGGACGAACGGAGACGTTATTTGTTAATCTCATTAAAGTGTTAACGCTTTCGCTTCGAACACCCCATATATTCGGCATCCAAATGATGCGTACACAAGTGCAATCTGTGTACGATTGTTTTATTCGGCACAGTTGTTATTTAAGACTTAGGAAAACGTATATGCAGAAACCATGCACAGTATGCACATGTCTAGCGCACGCTCTCGTTCAGTGACGGTAGTTCGGAGGATTGAACTGCCAAAGCGAAAGGGTTAAGAAATGTCCAAAGCCTATGATCGAAGCTTTCAGGACTTTCCTGTAGTCCTCTCGCAATTATAGTTTGTTATTCACACGATTGTCTGTATTATTTTGCTAATTAAGCGTATCTCGATCCCGCGCCTATGGGAGTCGTGCGAATTAAATCCTAGGGGTAGGTACTGGACGGTAAAATCACTCACACGATGTGCCTCTAGTACCGAGAAAGACAGTGAGAAAGGGGGACGAATAGGGGAGATCAGGGGTCGAAAATTTAAAAGAAAAATGGGTATAAGTATACCGAAAAGGCGTGCAAGCGAGGAATGGGTATAATTTAAATTTCCACCCGACAATCCCGTTCTGTCACGAAACAGATAAACGACGGTGGAATAAAATATTTGTACAATTTGCGAAGAAGAAGAAAGCTCGAAAAGAAAGACTCACCAAGACGGCTGCGTAGGTATCGACGGTAGCGCCCCTGGCGGCAAGGATCTCCTGATGGCCTGGCAGCAAGACCTGCCGTTGCCGGACGCCTCGTTGCAGCAGGATGGCGGATTGGTGCAAACGTGGCGTGCGACGACACCGGTGGTGGTGGTCGGGAACTCGACCGCAGAGGCACGGACCTTGGGTCGCAGCAAGGGGGACATGGAGAAGCCATCCCTCTGATTAGACGCGGAGCTGCTGGAGCTGCTAGAGCCGGGGCTACCGCCGAGACGACCCGGTGACGCGTAGGCGAAACCGCGAAGCCGGAAGTGCGACTGATGGTACGGATAGCCGGCTGGCGGTGGTAGCCGATAATGATGATGGAATCCTAGATCTCGTCTCATGTACGGGTCAGCGGGATCGTTGGTGGGCACGTAACGATCGGTAGGCGTGTGTGCTGAGGGTGGTACGTATCTGTCGACATATCTGTCCGGGTAGAGAACCTCCGGAGGTGGTTGAGGCACGTATCGTTCGACAGGCGTGTGCGCGGTTGGCGGCACGTAGCTTCCGGTGGCGCTGGTCGAGCTGTAAGTTCGATCGGTAGAGGTGGCGGCCGCGGACGTACCGCAGGAGGAGATCGGCGTTATGCGACCGGTGTATCGATCCTTAGGCTTCGGCAGCGATAGGTACTTGTCCGCGGTGCGAACCGGAGAATATCGATCGGTAGCAGAGTGAAAACGATCAGAAGCAGCGGACGAAGCGGCGAATCGGTCGGTGGCGGTGACGGGATTCGAGAATCTGTCGTAGCGATCCTGGCTGAGCCTGTCGAACTGATCGCCAGGATTGCCGACGTTGTAGCGCTCGTTGGCGTAGCTCTGCACGGACTTTGACACCTGGAGATACTTGTCCACTGCGCTGCTTTTTGTCGTACCCTGATAGCCGGAACTCGCCGCGCCGCTGCTCGATCCTCCGACTGTCCCCGTTCGAAGATTGGCATTGGCCGTTTCGGGAGTGGGTGAGATGGAGGTGAAACGATCGTTGGACGTCGCGGACTGGCTGGCCGTGGTATTCGTATAGGAGGAATGATATCGAGCGACGGTGTCGGTGGAGGAAGAGGACGAGGAGGACGTCGCGGAGAGCAGCCGTTCCGTGGACGATCCCGAGACAGCGTACCTGGACGCGTCGGTATTGGCGAGTCTCGCGTCGTGTCCCGGTGACGAGCCGGCGAGATAGCGATCGGTGGACACGCAGAATCTATCGTTTGCCCGCGATTGACCGCAGCGTTGTATCGCGAGATCGTTGAAACGATCCCCGGTGCTGACGTATCTGGACTGAGCGTTGCCGACCTCCTGGAAGCTGGAGTATCTGTTGAAATCCGTAGGTGCCGGGGAGCCGCTGGATCGATCCGTGTATTTCTGACAGACCGTCTCCACGCCTCGATCCGTGTACAATCGTCTCTGTTCGTTGTTGCCGTTCCCCGACACCTGCAAGGACCTCTCCGTCGACGAGTATCGCTGATGACCGGCGGCCTCGGGATTAGACGAATTCGAGAGGAATCTTTCGGTGCTCGACGATATCGTCGTGTAACGATCGTGGTGAACGGCTGATGTCGTTTCCTGCCGATGGTATCGTTCGTGTACCGGCGAATCCCCGAGATATCTGTCGGTCGACTTGCCGGCGAACCTCTCTGGCACTGGGGCGTGTATAGGTGACGAGGAGAGCAATCGGTCCGTGGAAATGGCGCCGTATCTCGATCCGGTAGAATCCTTGCTCGCGGCGTATATGCCGCTCCTGTCGCCTTGTAGACTGGCTTGTAGACTTCCCAACACCGGCGACGAGCCGGACAGCAGACGGTCGCTGGCTCCAGAGTATCGTTGCTGATCCTTGCCGGGCTCGTGCATAGAACCCGACGACTGTTGATTGGCCAGTAATCGTTCCGCCGAAGAGAATCGGTCCTTAGCTGGCATTGGCGAGGCTGGTGCTGTGCCCCCGCCATATTTGGTGCTTGGAGAACCTGGGGCCAGAATCCTATCAGCAGCAGGATAACCAGCCAGACTCTGGGTAGAGGCATACTTCTCGCTTGGGCTGGGCGACAGGGGCGGTGGTGGGACGAAACGGTCGTTCGCGGGTGCCGGCGACGGGGGAGAGGGGAACGTCTCGGATGAGAATGGACTAGTCGCGCAGCCCGACACCAGGATGTTGGTGTTGGCGTATTCGTTTCCGCTGGACACCAATTCGCTCGGTGGGTGGTGAAAGCGAAGCTCGGTGCTGCTAGCCGGTTGAAAGCGCTCGCTCGGAGCCAAGGACAATCTCTGCTCACCGTGGAGGCCGGTGAGCTCGTTGAAGCGTGGAAAACGCTCGGCCAGAACGTTCTGAGACAACGTTTGTCCAGCCGCGCTCGCTCTGCCCGCGCTGGTGAACTGGTGGTGCGTTTGCAAAGAGGACTGGCCGAACCTGTCTTGGCTCTGATAATGGCTGTATCGCTCGCAACCCGGCTGTATCGAGCGCGTTTCCGCGCAGGACTTTGGGAAATCGTCGATCGTCGGCTTCTCCGTTGACTTGTCGTGCCTCTCGATGCCGGGCATTCGTTCCCGGCCGCCATAATCGACGTGCTCGTTCCCTTGAGCGGACTGTTCGGATTGGTAACGGTCTTGGCTGCCGACGTTCGACGCGCTCGCTCGTAGGTCCGTTTGCTGTTGCTGCTGTTGCTTGTAACAGTCCGAGGAGCTAGTGGAACCGATCTGGGACCCGACGTTTCCAGACGTCCCGGTATTCGATCCTGGAACCGGAGATGACGAGGACCCGTACTGAGGGATCGGATGCTGGTGCAATAGGAGACGTTCTCTTCGGCCATAGTCGTCGTCTGTCGGCATCCTGGTGGCCCGGGGCCCGCTGTCAGGACATCTGCAACATTACGGTTCCTTTATCACAACGGACACCATCCAAAATCGAAATCACCATTCGCGTCGTTACGATACCTTTTAGAAACTAAAACCTCTCGGTAATTTTCTCAGAAAAATTACTCGTCTCGATAACACGGACGAACATAAAATCTTACGTATATCTAAATCCTGCAAAATGTACAAAATGCTCGCGTGGCAAATTGTACACCTGCGTACTCGTTAATAAAAAGAAAAGAAATAGAAACGCCATCTCGTGGGTAAACAGAATCTCCATCTTTTCCTAAAGGATTATTATTATGGTCCTCGTTATTGCGCGTATTAAACGGATAAATCTTGACAGGAGCGTATCTCGGATCCCGGCGGTAGTTTCCATGGAGATCCATCCTAATCTAAATACGAATGCATTTATTCGTCAGGGAGAAAATACGCTCGCAACGAGGAGCAATTCTTTAATAAGCCAAGAGAAGTACCCATTTTCTCCAAGCGGACCCCGTTTATCGAAATCGTGGTTGCCCCCCTCCCACCGCAGGTTTAAATCCGCGTCCTTCTTTGATATCTCAACGGTAAAATATAACGCGAGAGTACGAGCTGGAGGCAGGTACGAATTGCTTGTTACGCGACGTTAAAACGCGGCCCATATAATCGATTGCAAATTAATTGGGGCCACGCTCGCGCGCGTTTCGCTCTGGTCCAACGTGTCCGAACGAGTGACGCGTGCGGTCGTTCGTAACCACTGGCAAGCCTGCAGCGAATTGCCGCGAAATACGATTTCATCGATCACTGCTTAAATCCCCCAAAGAGTATTGAATAGCGCCGGTGTCCGGCCCATCAGACTTTTACTACGCGTTGCGTGAAAGCGAATGAAACCGGGATTCACGATTCTGTTCTCCGTTTTTACTACCCTCCGCCGGACCACTCTCGTTGCCACTAACTCCGGGGCCTGGGAGATTAAGCTGCTTGGATTTTGTCGATCGGAGGACACGTTTTCGCGTGCATTTTTGGTAACGATTTTGGTTCTTCGGATGAACAAATTTTTGCTTTTTGCTTCGAAAATTATAAATTATTTTTATGTCGAGATTAGAGCACACCGGCGACCCTTGTTTTCTTGATTGACGGTGTTATATAGTTGTAGCGACCAAAAAGGGGGTCGAGAGGATTTATGGGACATAGCTGTTTTTGAAAAAGCCGTCCTTCGTTTTAAGCTAAATTCGAAGATTTTATTATGGCACATGTTGCTGTCCTTTGATCTTAGAATTAGTCAGTTCGGGACTGAACAGCTCACACGGGTACCATGAAGCCTTGGGGGGTTCTTCGAAAGAACCAAGAGACCACAGGCGACCTTAGCCACGCCGGGGACCGCAGGAAATCCCCCTGTAGCGACCACCATTCTCACCCTCACCGCTAGATGGATTCCGTCTTCGAGGACTTTCCTGCGAGTCCTCGAAAAACCTCCAATTCCTATATATATATATAACTTCCCGACCTTCCAATAGTATCCCAGTGTCTAACCGTTTGAGTGCCACGGGTCATTATTGTTTCCCAATCGATATTTGCCAAGCGGCGCGATAGCGCTTGTCATATTCCGTGTCCAAAAATGCCGAGCGGCGCGATAGCGCTTCTCATATTCCGCGTTCACCAACCGAGCGCGCTGATTGTCAGCTTCGCAGCTCAGAGCGCTGGCACTTTTGGACACAAAATAGAAGAAGCGCAATCGCGCCGCTTGGCACTGAAACGGCTAAGGCAGGCCCGGGACGAAACGCATCCCTTCCTTTTCCTACCGTCCCTACTAGCTGCACCACCAAGAAGGATATCTGCGACCTAGCCGATATCAAATAAAGGTGGGGGAGGAACCCCACACCCCTACGTCACCGAATTTTGACAAAATTTCCCAAAAAATTCGCCAAGAGTGTAAGGATTATTATCGCCAAGGGCTCGATTAGTTGCACGGAAAATACCTGATTGGTTAACGATCCCAACATGACGTTCACCAATCAGGGTGTCTCCCAAGCTTCTAAGGAATGTTCCTAAAATCAGAGGGAGACTCGAAGAATTTTTTCCAAATAACGAGAGCATTAAAACCCCTTGCACTGAGACCCTGTATTAGTCACAAATAAATAAAGCAAGTAGAAAAGTGTTAACTCAACCCTACCGTGTGTAGTCCCTTACACCTTACCACTTTCCTATATAGTATTATAGGAAATTAAAATTTTTCCGTGTAATTGCTATATTTAATCCCCAAATAGGATAGTACTGGTTTGAGTTTGAGTTTGGCGATCCGTTATTTGGCAAAAGTTCGCGATAAATAATTCTCCGAAATTCTCGCTGAACACACAGCAGGGTATAACGACTGTCGAAAGTGTCACGAACTTTTCGAATAATGCAATTAAAGTGACGCGTGGGTAGTGAAATGTATATGCGTTAAGTATAATCGGATTATCGGGGAATACGAAATCGAATTACTGTATTTTAACATGGCTCTCGTTCTCTGTCTCCATTCTTACGGTTATATTATTTTATCTCGGATAAGGTTAAGGGGAAACTTCCCTAATACCGAACTTCGCCTACGCGATTTCATTGTCTACCTTATGTACAAGGACTCCGGCATTAACCCCTAATCGAGGGTGGAGATGTCCCGGTTGTCGCAGGGGAGTCTCTAGTAAATCCGCATCCGCGAGACTGAGAGATAATTTTTGTTATTAATAATAATGTCAATAATAATAAATATTTCGTGTGCTTCGTTGAAAAATAATTAAAATCAATTAGAGAGTAACGGAAGTCTATTACAATTTATAAATGCACCCTCCGACCAATTAATATTCATGAAATAAACACTCGTGGAAATAAATATATATATATGTGGGAATGGAATAAGTGTGGCTCTGGGAAATGTCGAGTGTGTCTGGACTTAGAATGAAAGTGACCATGTACGCAGGGATCGAATATAAGGATTATTTATGATAGAGTCGAGTGAAAGTTTAAGGATGCGTGCAGAGTGGTTGAAGTGCCTGGCCCACCGAGGTTGCGTGAGAAAGGAGCATGACTGGAGAAGAAAGTCGGGGTATGAATGAGGAGGATGAACGGTTTAAATAAGGGTGCAAGGGCGCGGGCGAGGACAGTCCTTCACGGTCTTCGAGATAACGTCTAACGAGTAAAAGTCGAGCGTATTCGTAGCGAGTCTTTAGTTTCGTGGCCGATAATATAGGTATAAGCTTATTGTATTTTAAGAAGCAGTAAAGCAACGTTACTTTATCCAATCCACCCACTCCGATCCTACATATATATAAAAAGAAAAATTGAAATAGGTATATCCGAGTTAAAAATCGGGAATGAAAATTGCGTGGGAATTCGAAAAGCCAGGAGTAACGAGGCACGAGTAGGTGAACGGGGAATCCAGCGGCAAGTAGAAAGTACACGCGCATGGTCAGACAACTCCCGACCTCGCGCTGAATTTACTCGTTTGTTCGCGAAGTAACAATCTCGAAATTAGACCGAGGCGTTTGCATCGATCTAATTAGGGTATCGGGACGCGAGGCGCATATTAAACCGAAACAATAACGAAATTCACGCGATACGTGGTCGTCCATTGAACGAATCGTAGAACATATCGCGTGAACGGTGTTGAAACTCCTCGGTGTGGTGATTATACCGATCTGTCTTCTTTACAGCGGTCTACTCGAGCCACTTAATTACTCTTCCATTTAGCTAAGCATTCTTTCGGAACGAGGCTTAATTAAAAGACGATTACGACTCGGTAATTATAAATTGATCGACGCGCCTTATCTCCGCAGCTGTCAAACGACTTTCGTCTGGACGTCTGTACAGAACCCCGGCCACCCGGGGGTTAGAATGTTATACGGCCGTTAATTCGGTCATATTTCAACGGGCGTGGCGTTTAAGCAGAGAGAAAGCGTAATTGATCGTACATTAGAAGAGACTGTAGAACCTGCAATCAGTCGCGAGCAGAATGAACCGTGTAATTGATCGGACGTTCCTCCGGTGCAAGATGATGGCTTGCTCGAAATATCGACCAACCCCGGTCCTGTTATTTGCAAACGTGTCGTTTAATCGCCGAACACATCTCGCGCCAGCGCGTGTCTCTTACGTATCCATCGTTATTTGCTCTGCACACAAAGTCGCTTTTTCCGACAAACTGCAATTTCCCTGCTGCACGCGTGTGCCACCAGTGCTCGTTATTACCTTCGCACGCTTCCACGTCGAATCCGAAGCAGTAATGCCGGGGTCGAATTAAAATATTTCTCGAATCTCGCTGCGTTTGCGATGCAAACGAATTTTCATCTTTGTAATTTTAATCGCGAGTAAGAGAGAAAATGCTGGAAATATGGGGAAGTCGTTGCGGAGGAATCGCAATGTTTTTAATAAATTTTCCTTCGTTTCCTGGGTTTCCAAATTTGACAGAAGTTTGACAGAAGGTTGACGGAAATTTAACAGAAGCTTGACAGAAAGTTGTCAGAAATTTGACAGAAGTTTGACAGAAGGTTGACAGAAATTTGATAGAAGTTTGACAGAAAGTTGTCAGAAATTTGACAGAAATTTGACAGAAGGTGGATTGAAAGTTGACAGAAATTTGACAGAAAGTTGACAGAAACTTGACAGAAAGTTGACAGAAATTTGACAGAAGTTTGACAGAAGGTTGACAGAAATTTGATAGAAGTTTGACAGAAAGTTGTCAGAAATTTGACAGAAATTTGACAGAAGGTGGATTGAAAGTTGACAGAAATTTGACAGAAAGTTGACAGAAACTTGACAGAAAGTTGACAGAAATTTGACAGAAGGTTAACAGAAGTTTGACAGAGGGTTGACTGAAAGTTGACAGAAAGTTGACAAAAAGTTGACAGAAGGTTAACAGAAGTTTGACAGAAGGTTGACTGAAAGTTGACAGAAAGTTGACAGAAACTTGACAGAAAGTTGACAGAAAGTTGACAGAAATTTGAAAGAAGTTTGACAGAAGT